TAGGTACAAACATCAAGCAGCCTAAACGTAGCATTTCGCCTTGCCTCAATTCAAAGTTTTGGAGAAAAAAAATTTTTTTTTTTTCTTCTAGCAAATTAAAAAAAAAAAAAATGGTTTTGTTTATTGCTTTTTTCAGGCAAATGAAAATAACCACCTCGACACGCGCGCTCGACTTCAAACGAAGCCACGCACCTATATTCACTGATTTGCAGATTAATAGACACCCCTGAGCTAGTAAGCAAACTTGCAAGTCACAATACTTATTTTTATAGGTTATTGAAGTAATAAATTTAATCTGAGAGGCTTGAGGCTCGACTGGCAACAGTGACGACGTGATGTCAGGACTCCGGCAAGTTACAAGAAATTTAATGTTGTAAACTAAATGCTAAAAAAAAAAAGTAAAAAAAATCAAACTAGCAAAATAAATAAATAAAAAAAAAAAAAAAGCATGGGCGAAATGTGTTGTACAGCGATAGCTGTTGTGGGCTCTTTCCTCCACTGGATACGAAGTCCGTAATTGATGTTGTAGTTGTTCATTAGCTTGTTGTTGTTGATGTTGTGGTTGGCGTTGTAGGTCGTCCGTCGCTTATGTTGCCTTTTTTTTTTTTTTTAAGATCGTTTGTTGCTTGCGGGAACCGAACCTGGGCCTGCTGCATGGCGTGCGAAGCGGACGCGTTGCCACTAAGTACGTGTTGTTGGGCTAGTTGGTGATGCACGTTTTGAATGATGGTTCAAAGCACTCAAAAGACGAACAGAAGGGAGAATAAGAAGGAGCGCCCGCGTTTGTCTCCTCTCTTGTGTTCATCTTTTTATCGTTTTTAACCATGGTTAAATTTTTTTAACCAAGCAACGCCACAGCTTTGCTTAGTGCTAACGTTTTGACCCATGGTATGTATATTTATATTTACGCTTATATATACAGATTTGTTTACTAGTTACACATCGCACATTCAAAATACATTATTATACACGCAATACGATGACAAAAACAGAGGGTGGCTCTGCACGGCAAAGGCGACTGTGCTAGGCTTGTTTAACTTTTTACAATAAACACAGTAAATAAACCGTTTCGGACTTTCTACAAGAAAACTTGACCTCCTCTTTCATAAGCCTGTATGCTGACGATTGTGTTATTTATAAACAAATTCTTAGCGATTCTGACATTTTCGTCCTTCAAACTGATATTAATAATGTCAGTCATTGGTGTGAAGATTGGCTCATGGAACTTAACATTTAGACGCAGATCTATGAAAGTATCCCTTCAAAATAACGCCTGTCCTTCCTTCTACATCAATAATTCAATTCTGATTTCTGTTTCCTCCTATAAATATCTTGGTGTTCATCTAGCCAATGACCTCTCCCGAAATATCCATGTCGATTATGTCACTAAAAACGCTGATCAATTACTATACTCTGTTTCACCTTGTGTTGTACCGCTGGAAAGGCTACAAGCGCGAGCTGTTTGCTCTAGGGCACATCTCGGCGGCACAAGCTCTCCAAGGGCAGCTGCCAACGCAATGAGCTCGGGCTTCTAGCCTTCGGTGCGGTACAACATAAGGTGAAACGGAGTTTAGGCTACATCAAAAGAAAGTTTTCGCCAACTCCTGTCTCTCTAAAGCTTCTTTTATACAAAACTTTAGTTCGCTCTAGACTGGATTATGCAGCCTCTATCTGGGACCCCGGTATCAGCGTTGCATCTATTGTTGAGGCCATTGAGAATTGCTCCGCTCGTTTCATTCTCACAAACTATCATCGCACAGCCTCTTTATGAAAGTATCTTCTATCCTTACCTCCTCTCTTTTCGTAGAAAATTATCTCGTTTTATATCTTTTTCACAAGATTTATCACTCTGATACCACACTTCGCGAAACATTATTTATGGAACCATCTTACATACCATCACGAACAAATTACCAGTTAAAGGGGTGCGGAAACAAAATTTGAAGGCTCATTTTATTGCTTGGGTATATCCTGATCAACATCAGTATTTTGTTTGTAAGCGCAAGAAAAGTAATTTTAAAACGAATAAAACTGATTTGTTGGGGGGTCGTGACGTGTTGCTCGTCCCGCAGTGGCGCCACCCTTGGCAGTACACCCGCAATCGCGCTGCTTCGCGCGGCGTAGGATTGTTTTGGAACCGCCGCGTTGTTTCTGTGTTTGTTCATCGCGTCTGCGTGCAGGATGGCGCGTTGCTACGCGGCAGAGGGCTGCGGCAACAGCGTGCTGAACTGGCTGAACTGCGAGGCGCCGACCCACGGGTTTCCGGACGATGAGAAATTCCGAAGCGTGCATGGATCCGTCTCGCGCTTCCGTCGTCTCTCGGGCGCCGGTGAGAACCGATCGCCTGTACGGTGACCATTTTCGCCATGAGGACTATGAAAGGCTACCCACTGTCCTCAGGGGTCTGGGTCTTCCTGCCAAGAGTGCCGACCATTTTTTTTTTTTTTTCCAAGAAGAGAAAAACAGACGAGCTGAGCGAACTGCGCGAAAAGCGAAGAAACTGTAAGTGAGCACGCTGTTAATGAAAAACCTCATAGCGCATATCCACAAGTTGGCCGATTATTAAATGCGAGGCATCTCTTTGCGACCCGACCCCCTTCAAATTTTTGTCGTGCGGATGGTCCGTCTGTCGGATGGTTCGTACGGTTCTAGCCCGATTCACCTGTCCGTCACCATGTGCGAGAGTGACGACTCGCCCTTGCTGACATCTTCCGAGTCCCCTGTCGAAATCCTCGTCCTCTCGAGTTCACGGATCGTGGCGGAACGCACCGCGGACTACAAGTGCCGAAATGAATACGTCAAGACGGTCGTCGTGCAGCTGTGCAGTCTTCCGTCACTCCCGGAAACGCGAGATTGTTACACGTAAAAGCCACCGCGTGGCGGCGCTCATAATCACGCTAGCCTTTAGCTGTGCTGAGGAGACTGACGTCACGATTGCGACGGAGTTCCCATGATGCAACGCACGCCTCAATGGCCGATTTCGAAGCGCTCGCTAGAATCGGGTGCTTGAAACGAAAAATATAGCCATCCGCTCAGAATACGAACTTGCGATTGTCATTTAC